AGTGTTCCATTAGCCTGAATGGCCATGTGGAGGAGGGCTACTCTCCCGGTGAGCGCACCTGTCCATACTGTGATGTGACCTGAAAATGAGCTTCTATTAGTGTTGGAACCATTATATATTTTTGCATCTATTTGTTACCGCAATTGGCCTACCTTAACTAATACCCTTAGGTAAGCCTTGTTCAGAATGCTCATCTTGGAACTGGGGAAACCATTTTTTTTATTTTAACTCTAATAACAGTAACAGTAATTAATATGTATTGAGCATTTATCATCCTAAGAGCTTTATATGTATTACCTCGTAATCTTTACAGCAAATGCATGAGATAGGGGCTATTAACTTCATTTTACAGTCGGAGACACAGAAAGGGTAAATAACTTTCCCCAAATCATATAACCAGGAATTATGAAAGCAGAGATTCAAGCCCAGGCAGTGTGGGTCCAATTTTCATCACTGACATGGGAATACCATGACATCCATAAAATCAAATACTTTACCAACCAGATTGTCTTGCTCTAAGATCATTATCCTTCTTTCTGGTGCTGCTGGGGACCGTGGCCTGGAATCTCCAGCTTAGAACCCAGTGCCATGCTCCCAACTCCTAGACCTGCTTCATGGCCCTGATGTCTTTGCCTGGACTTTTGCATACTTCCCTCCTCATCTCCTCGACACTTGGCTTTAGTTTCTGCCAGAACCCTGCTTTTGACCTTATGTCATTATCCCTGACTCAGACCACCACTCACCCATCTCCTCTGGACATTTTCCCCAGATAACTGTTTTTACTTCCCTAGACAAGACTTGCCAAGATTTTCCCTGCCACCTACTGCAAAATTCCCCAGTATCCTCACCACAGATTTACCTTGACTTGATGGGTATCTGATTGCCTGTCTGGGCTCCTCCTGGTCTGGCTTAATCCACTTCCTGCCTAACTTTGAATTCACATTCTGACCTCATTCACTGACATTTTTATTGGGTGTTTACCAAGGAACTAGGCTAGGTACACAGGACAGCAGAGTGAACAGGAAAGCCCACTACCAGAGTAGGATCAGTGCCAATCCCCTCCTATTCCACTCCCCCCAGATCTCAGCACATCATCTCCCCCTCAAAAAAAAAAAAAAATCTGAAAACATTTCAATTCTGGAATCTCAGTCTCTTCTTCAGGATGCTCAAAAAATTTTTTTAATTCTAAATTGATCACCAATATCCTAGTGTTTGATGAAAGGTATAATGGTACTCAAACCTTGCCCTTATCAAAGCCAGTTTAAGGACAGTCTGGAAGCCCTGGGCCAGGGATCTACAGGAGGAAAAGGCGTCTGTCTTTGGCACCATCTTAAGAAGAGAGAACAAATTGCTCCAGAGCTTTGATGCAGGAATGTTTATTTTCTCCATCTATATATGTAACAGGAAATTCAGCAGTTCACCTTTGTAAATCGTTTGCATACCACTTATGTAGGAGCCAGATGGCGCCTCTTTGTTTTCAGAAATTAAAAATGAAAAAAGGAGAATATAAGGAGGGGCTTATCTCAAGCTCCCCTCTTGCTCCCCTGGGTACGCTCTAGAATCCTCGGGGAGCAGGAGAGCACAAATAGATGCACACACAAACACACACACGTCTGAATTACCTATGTTTATCTATATTAGGCATGAGAAATGAAGCAAATTCTTAGGCCCAGTGATCAATGGTAGCAGAGAGGTGAAGCTTGTCCTGGGGTATCTGCTTGCAGACAGAACCYTTCACAGCGTTCTCTCCATCTGATAAATCACTGTTTCCCTGAGGGTCTCAGCCAATGCAACTGAACAACAACGTCTTACATAAATCACTGGGACATGGCTTTAGCTCTAAGATTCAGAAACAGGAACAGGACCATATAAACACTGACCAAAAGAAGAAGCAAGCACTGATGACCCAGTATGTCTTCATAAGTTGAAATCTTACAAAGGAAATTTTCCTGAGGTGGTCAACTTAAAGACCCTACTCCTTTAGGGCAGCTGTGTGATCCCAAATTATTTTTCCGTGGTCAGGAGGTTCCTCTTTCTAACCCAGAAAGTGCATGTGGAAATAAGATTAGCTCCACAGTTTGTTTGTTTGCTTTGCCCTGGGTGTGAGAAGAACTAAGGAAGATAATGAAAACAATAAACTTACCCAGTAAGTATTGAATTACAGGCTCTTTACACAAATGAACTTACTTAACATCAACATTACTCTATTGAGTAAATCTTTTTGTCCTCCTTGGAGAAACAAGAAAACTGAACAGAGGTTAGGGCAAAAGCATGCAGGTCCCATGACTGCTAATAATATTCAAATGTTAGAAAGTGATCACAGGTTAAGATCAGACCCCAAACCCAAGAATACCCTTGTTGTCCCCAGTGTCTTCCAATAGGAATGATAAGACTTCAGACTGCATTATTGTGACCTCAGGCAAATGTACTGCTGCCTTTTGTTTTATAGAAGAGTAGGGAAGGAAGATGAAGTCCACAGCACAAGCCACTTGTTGAATGTGGAGAGTATAGTACCTACCCAACAGCAGTGGAATAAGCAGCTTCCCAATGGTGTGCTGAGTTTTACTGCAATAGCTATCCTTCCTTGTTCCATATGCCCTTGGAAACAAAGGCATACATTTCCAAGCCAGCTGGCCTCAACTAGCAACCTGGCTTAGCACTCATGAAGGAGGAATTGAAGACACAGCGAGCGTAGACATTTCCCATTTATTCTCCCTTCCTTAAATTCACCCTGGCACCCACGGAAATTAGATGGGTTTACTCCTTGAAACTCTCCSAGGAGTAAAGAGCAACAGTTCACAGCTGCTAAAGCAAGGGCAAAGAACTATCATTGGGACTGTGATTTGTTTTATTTGGTTTTGCTTTTTAAACCCAAACAGAGAAATATTAAGTGCAAGCCTAGAAGCAAGTCTGAAGGCTCAGTTTGCACATTCTGGTCAGTCATGGTTTCTTGGTTTCCCAAGATCATGGTGAAGCCAGCAGAGACCATCTTGGCCTAATTAAATATCTGCCCTACACAGAAAAAAAGTAAAACAGTGAGCCATCCCTTACTTTCTTCCACTCCACCATAAATCTGAGCTCAGTCAGGCAATCCAGCAAACCCTATTACACAGAGTGGAGAGGCAATTAAATGGTGCCAGTTCTTGCTGGCCTCTAAGAAATCAATGACCCACGGGCCCTCTTAGTAACCACACCAATGCCTCTCTTGAAAATGAGCGGRAAAAATGGTCTAGATACTAAAAAGAGACTCCACTTTGACATTTGCTGGCARGTCTGCTCTGGCCCAGTGTGTGGTACTTGCTATATTTTGTTCTTTTCTATCTCTGGACACTGGAGGGGGCTGGTGGCTACAGAAGCTGCCCAGTGTGCTGTGGACACTCTACTTTCCCCCCATGTGGTCTACTTTGCTCATGATAGTACATCATTTGTCATCCTTTGTACCACAAACAAGTCACTTTGTAGCCATAAAAATCATTTCTTGAACATTGCATTTTTCTCTGGATCTTTGCTAAAATGAAGTTCCTTGAGTGATCCATTTTAATGCCTGAGTGATCATGATTTAGGCAAAGCTACATACATGTCCCAACCCCAAATTCCTAGCCTCCTGGTCCATCAGGCTCAAGCCAATAGGACCATCATATTTGGGGTCATCGACTCATAATACAATCATCCATTCCTTGCAAAAAGATGAGACAAGTAGCTGCTACTCCACTTGCTATTGGTTGAATGTTTGTGTTCAGAGTTCAAAGTTAGGTTAAGCCTAACCCTCAACATGATGGTTTGGTGGGGAGGGGTCTTTGAGAGGTAATTAGATCATGAAGATGGAGACTTCATGAATAAAAGATTAATGCCTTTATCCAAAAAGACCTCAGAAAGATCCTTTGCACCTTTTCTTCCATGTGAGGACCCAGTGAGAAGACAACTAGTTATCATAATGTGCCCTCACCAGACATAGAATCTGTAAGAGCCTTGATCTTGGGCTTAAAAACATGAGAAATAAAATTTTTGTTGTTGTAACATCCCCAGTTTATGGCTAAGACATCCTTCCGCTTCCAAAACATTATTCTCTCTCTCCTTATACCATCTATCCAAACTACTCCCCTAGTTAATGTCCCCATGCTCCATGTATTAGAGACATCTGCCTCCCAATCAATTTGCAGACATTACTCCATCTCTGGGTTTAAAGTTGCAACCACATTTCCCCTTTCTGAGAAAAGTGACGCTTGTGGTCATTCACCCTTTCCCTGGCAATAATCAAAACCATCCAATGATCCATGGGAAGATTTCCAAAGACTAAGGARAAAAGTTGTTTCTGGAAGCAAAACAAGATCCTATTAATATGAAGTAGACAACTGTATGCATTCAGGAATCTTTCCTTAAGATCTAACCTGGCGTCTCTCCAAAGCTGGAAGCTGATAGGATGCTTTCTTTCCTCATCTTTCCAAAACCATTAGGATTATCTGTTCAGCAGTGTATTAACCATTTTTGCTAGTTTTCTTTGGGTTCCACTTTTCATCAAGATCTATCTTTGGAAAGAAATCATCCTTACATGGTCACAAGATAATTCCAGAGAATAAAATGTGTCATGGTTAAGGCTAGATTAGGGACTGTGGTGGGAGATGTTAAAATATAGCACCAAGTTGGAATTACCTGGGTATGGATTTCGGTGTGTGTTTGTGTGTGTGTGTGTGTGTGTGTGTGTGTTTGTGTTTGTATGAGCATTTATGCATGTAAGAACACAATGCCTATGTTATTGCAATGTACAGATACAGTTGAGTCAAATGTCCAAGAGGACAAGAGGAAGAGCCAGTTGACATAATAATAAAAACATATGCCAAGCAACAGGAGTGATCAAAAGATAACTAACTGTTGAATGTGCATCTGAACACTTGTGTGTATATGCGTGCACCAGAGTGACAGGGTTAATGGACAATGACAAAGACATGTAAGCAAGGTGCTAGCTCTGCTGCTGAGCCCTTCAGCTGGGAAAGTCACCTTACCCTGTAGTAATCAGTGCTGTAGACATCTCTGGACATGCCAAAGTCTCCAATCTTCACCAGCAGGTTGGCTCCAACCAGGCAGTTCCTGGTGGCCAGGTCCCTGTGCACGAAGTGCTGGGAGGCCAAGTACACCATGCCTGAGGCGATCTGACTGGCAATGTGGAGCATCTGAGAGAGCCCCAGCTCGCCCTTGGCTTGGCGTGGCTGCCCATCCACGAGGATCATGGCATCTGGCCCATGGGCCCTGTGAGGAGGTGGGAAGGAAAGAGGGAGCAGAGAGAATTCAGGAGATCAAGGGGAAAGACCTTTTTGGTTCCCAGTCCTCTGGAATGCTCCACAGAAATGAGTGAAATTCCCCTTTCCTAACTTCTATACCCTATTTCTACCTACCCCAAAGTATATTGAATGAATGTGGGTATGGCTGAAACTCTACAACCAGATTCCTGTGGAAGATGACAGAAGACATATTCACATGGAACTGGGAATAATCCCACTATTTTTAACATCTTACTACTACAGAAGGGTTCCCCCATGGGATAGATACKTATTATATAATAATTAATAAAACAACAACTAACTGTTATATAGCCCTTACTATATGCCAAGCACTGTTCTGGTTGTTTTGAATATATTCAATTAATCTGTCCACCCGGACTTTGAAATTAAAAAATTGAGAAATAAAGAAAATGATCAGATCAATCGCCAAAGTTCCAGAGGTCTCAGAATGGCTATCTTGGTAAACAGGAGACAGAATTTAAAGCCAAACCTTGACTTATAAAAGAGCACTTTCAAAGGGAGAAAGGAATTTAAAACACATTTCCAGGTCCCCGCCCACTAGGATTCTGATTGGCTGGGCAGAGCATATTCATTTGCATTTCCCACAATTTCCTGGTGCTGATGTAGACTAGCAATCTACACCCAGCAACCGTAAATAATAGGAAACTCGTGGGTCCTCACTCCTAACCACTCCACCACACTGCTTAGCACAGGGTAACTCAACAACAGCAGCAAGGCAAGATGGAGAGACCCTCTGACTCTGCAGCACCTAGAGTACTCCAGCACCCCTTCCATCTCAAATTAGGGCCTGGATTTGTTTTTCTAACATCTCGACTTGTCATATCTGTCATTTTTAGTGCTCACTCTTTTCTCTAGAAAGCCCAATGAGCCATAACCACACCGGGGGCCCTTATTTATGAAGCGGTGGCCCAACGAGCCCTGGTGTACAGCGAGGTCTCAGCCTGTTTTACTGCTTCTCCAGTTTCCATTGAAAGGCACCATTAAATATGAACACTCATTTTATTATCTCCGGTGAGCTCCAACTACCTCACTCCTCAGAAGGAGGGCTGCTGCATCAGCTGGCAAGCCAGGGGGTCACTAGGTAAGCACAACGCCTGTCCACCAGGAGGGCACTCTCCAGCCTGCCCCTAAATACCACAACTTGGAGATGTGAGGGCAGGCAGGGCCAATCTGGGGTCACGGAGGCTGTGTTTGGAAGAGCAGCAGTAAGTCAGCTCCCAGGAAAGGTTAGTGTGAACTATTGCTAAGAGCTTCTGGCACCAGGGCATTCTGGAGAAGTCTTGACTGACAGAGCCTAGGGAGACAGATTAATGGCATCTACTGGGAATCTGATTAGCAGTGGAGGCAAAAGTCCAGATTACAGTGCAAAAAAAAACTACCCCCCAAATACTGTTGGGCCTTGATTTTTGGATAGAATCCTCCATGCTGTCTTCAGGAAAGGGCTCTAGAGAAAAGACAGCGGCTAAAGAGTGTCAGCAAGTCCTTGGAGGACTGTGCTCACAGGAATGCCTCCTTACATTGTCCATGGAGACCAGGAGGTGACCCAGTGCAGAAGCTACCCCTCACCTTGTGCCTTCCTTCCTACTTCTTTTGATCTGCTTTTACTTTTCTTATTTTCTCCTGCTCCCATTCCGTGCCTTTGCTCTCACTTCTCACTCTTTCCCTCCATTCTGCTCCCTTGTTCTTCCTCTTCCCTTACATTGGGCAGGAGRGGGATACACAGAGACACACAGCCAGGAACTCTCTTTAGCCCTGCTGGTGGCACTTGAGRCTGAAATACTGGGTCTGTGGAGAGGGTGTGGTGGAAAATGGAATATGCCCTCTGACCCCAGAAGAATGAAAGCACAGGGAGAGGGGAACCCTGATTATAGAGAGAGAGTGATTCCTAGATTAGAAACAATCATGATGCAAAGCCATAATAGTAATAGTAGAAATAACAGGAATAATTTTAATAGTAGCAACCATTGGCTGAACACCTAGCTACATGAAAAATTCATCTAGGTATTACATATATATATATATATATATATATATATATATATATAGTCATTAAAATACTATGAGTAGTGCAATTTGCTCCAGTTGTAATTAACGTGACAAGACGTGAACCCAATTTGTTTTATGCTAAGGACTGAGTTCTCCAGGAAAATCCCAGTTTAGGAGGCATTGAGTAGTCTACAGATATTTTTAATTCTCCCAGGGTCTTTTTTTTTTAACCCAGATTATAAACAGAGCCCCAGAGACCCCTTCAGTCCATTACTTGGTACCAACTCTTTGTGTTCCCGCCTCAAAACTCCGACACTCTATGGAATGTTGCACTTCAGGGGGATGCTCATCCTTTGTCGGTGAGCGGGTTAGAGCCCTGTATACCTTACATTTGAACCCTGGATGTTTCATTCACAGCCATGAAATTTGATGGGATTCAGYTAGTGGTGAGGCAGAGACCACACCCTGAGTGTCCAGAACCTGAGAGTTCAACCTGCTTCTTGGGAAACTGGATTTCACAGTTCCTCACACATGGCTTCCCCCATACCTAGGCACTGTGTGTGAGGTGACAGCAATGGAAGGCTGTCACAGGAAAATCTTAGTTCTGTTCTAATGATGAGCTGCTGCCTTCTCTAGGGAAAGTGGAGTCTCCCCTGCAACTATAGCCTGAACTTCTGACTGGGGTGCCAGTTTCATCCAAAGCTTCTCAAAGTCCAGGTAATCCCTCTCCAGACTTGGAGTATATATATATGTGTGTGTGTGTGTGTCTGTGTGTATGCATATACATATTCATGTAGAACAATATATATAGCAGCACTATCCAGTAGAATTTTCAAATAATGGAAATGGTCTACACTGCACTGCTCATTTGGCAGTCACCAGACACATGCGGCTACTGAGCACTAGAAATATGGCCAGTGAGACCAATAACTGAACTTCTAACCTCATTCAACTTTAACTAATGTAAATCCAACTTCAAATAGCCATCTGTGGCTACTGTCGTAGACAACRCAACTCTAGAATTTACCTGAGGAAAATCTTCCTTTTTTTTTTCCAACCATCTYTGTCTTCTGATGAATTTTTAATCTTGCACCCTCCTATTCATCATCAAGAAGCTTCTGGCAAGAAGGTTTCCAGGAACGCTGCCCAGGACTAGCCTTACTGTGCAAGTGAGATGTGCAAGGCACAAAGGGGACAAGCTATTTGCAGCATTGAGAGAGGGTGGCCCTAGAGTCTTGGAGTTGTAAGTGACCCACTGGACTCTCCTGGGACCCAGTCCAGACTTTTCTTCTCAGCCCACCCTGGAATCAGGAGAAAGAGCACAGGCTTTTTTATCTTAGGGACATAGGCCTTAGGCCAGCTGCTAAGGGGATGATGGAGAAGAATGAAAGGGTGTTTCTCGTTTCCCAACCTCAGACTTAAGAGTTCAGTGGGGGGAGTGTGACTTCTAACTCCAGAGACAATCTCAGGGGCTGGGGAGTCTTAGGGTCAGTAAAGAGAAAGACAGCAATCCTCGCATACCTGAGGAACTTATTCAGGTCTCCATGCTTCATGTACTCAAAGACCATGATGAGGGGGTCCCCATCACCACACACCCCATAGAACTTGACAATGTGTTCATGTTGCAGGTTGGTGAGCAGCTCGGCCTCCCTCTGGAAATCCTTTCGGGCAGCCAGGGTGGGGTCCTTCAGGGCCTGCAAATAGTACAGCARCCTTTAGCAACCAGAGGCAGAGAGCTTTTCCCATGGAGAAACCTGGCACCACACACTGCTGGGTTCCCAATAAATGAGATTTTAAATGGAATTTAAAGATGAGGATGCTAAATCTTTACTCTGTAAAGTGCAACCCCACCACATTCAGAATTTTGATCCACATAAAGAGAGAGAGAGAGAGAGAGAGAGAGAGAGAGAGAGAGAGAGAAACTCACTTTCTGACATCCACATCCCACGTGCTGGACAGTGATTTTTAAACTGTGTTTAACTCAGAGTCCCTTGGAGTCCTCAGAGGTGAGTGTGAATGACAAGGGAACATGGATGTGAAATGGAAGGCCTGAGAAAGCCCCTGTTCCTAAGGTTTCCTTTAAAGAAATGGTCTCCCTGCTTTAGCTTTGTAAACCAACACACACAAAGCCTGCCAGAAATCAGGCAGATGATCTAATAGTTTCCTTGTCTGTTTGAGTCCTTAGTTTTCAATGGTGATGGAGTTCTCTATTTACCCAGGAGGATAAGCATTTTGACTTCTAAAAGACACTGAGTTCTCCTACCAACAGTTTGGAGCAAGCCCCGAGGGGTAAGCAGGGTGACAGCCATGGAATGGTAATTAACAGACAGCAGCTTTAGAGGCACCCAGGACCAAGTAGAGAATCACAAAGTCCTAGTGCAGGATGAGAAGGTGGGCATCTGGTGGCCACCAAGATGCTCCAACTCAGCCTCGTGGGGGAGGCAGACCCAGGTGAGAGGGGCAAGTATGGACCAAGCCCTGTCCTGGTCTAGGAAGAGACCCAGGGTGTGAGTTCCCAATGTTGATTTTTTAAGCACCAAAAGGAGACCATGGGACCAAAGCTGAAGACTTCAAGTGCATCAGAGGAACCATGGACAGGGCACCACCACGGGGATGAGCCATGCTGGTCAGGATGGCTAAGGCCTGAGCAGGGGACGGTCCCTCTCCCAGAGGAGCAGTCTGCACAGGYGCACTTGCACATTTCCCCATCCTCCCCATGAGGTCAGAGGGCAATGAGGCCAAACATCCACTTCCTTTAACTGACGATGTATGTGTAGACATTAGGTGTCTTCCAAAAGCTCATGCGTGAGACAGTGCAAGAGGGTTCAGAGGAGAAATGTTTGGGTTGTGAGAGTCTTAACCCAATCAGTGAATTAATCCCCTGATAGGGATTAACTGAGTGGTAACTGAAGGTGGGAGGGAGTGCCTAGAGGAGGTGGGTCCTTAGGGATGTGCCTTTGGGGTAAGTATTTTGTATCTGGCCAATGAAGTCTCTCTGCTTTCTGGTCATGATAGGAGCTGCTCCCTCTGACACACTCTTCCACCATGATGTTCTGCTTCTTCCGGAGCCCTGAGGAAGGGAGCCRTCTGTCTATGGATCGAGACCTCTGAAACCAGAGACCCCAAGTAAACTTGCCTCCTCCACAATTGTTCTGATCAGATCTGTTAGTCACAGCAGCAGCAAAAATGATAATACAGACAGTTTAGTGACCTCAATAGACACAACAAGACGCAATGAGGAAATGAGTGTGGAATTTCCTCACTATCAGGTAGTGAATGTTCAGACAGACTAGAGACTGCTTTGCATGCTCTCTGGCAGGCATCTGGCCTGTTCTGGTCATTCAGGCACTTTGACCTCCCCAGTAGATTATGCTAGCCCCCCAGCCAGAGACCTTTCTCCTACCCTGCAGCCCATTAGTTGAACTCTACAGGCTGCTTTATATTCTAGCACTATAGTAGTATGAATCTAATTTTTTTAATTCATATCTATGTATCTACAGGCAGGCCCATCCAACCTCTCAGTCATTGGCACATATCAGAGATGATGACTGTTATCATGAAAATCTACTACTATCTGCTTATTTGTTCATTTGCAGAAACTGAGGCTGAGCCTGTCTAGGAACCAGCCACATGCAAACATCTTACACAACAGAAACTTAAAATGAACACAAGCCACCCACTRGTGAGCTCCATGGTGCCCCACTAGTCAATAGCAATACTTCCAGGGCCATCAAAGTGGGTGTGGTCTCTTGTCCAGAGATCAAACCCCATCCCAACTTCCATCAGCAGCACCTTGCATCTTTTTTAAAGTCTGAAAGGTTTCTGCAAAAGAATATTTAATTAAATGGTACCACTGCTGACAAAAAAAAAAAAAATGTTAAAAGTTATCTGGCTTCACTTGCCCATTTTACAGGTGAGAAAGCTGAGGCCTAGAACAGGGAAGGGGTTCACCAAAGATCATGAAACCAACAACAACTTGGATCTGGAGCCCAGGGTATTTTCCTGCCTAACACATCTGCTTAAATCAGCTGATCAGATAAATTAGGCACTAAACAGGTCCTCCAAGGAATGAAGGGCCCAGGAGTGAAAAGATGTGTCATCATTGGGGAGAGGATAGAAATAGGCAGAAGGTATGGATGCCTGCAGAGTGGCTTCACCCAGTGCAGGGGCCTATAGGGCAGACCAAGGAGAGAAACAAAGTGTGAGGTTCATTCTGCCCACCCATGGTTGATTTTTATCAGAACTAACTCTATGCACTTTCCCTCCTAGCATTTGCTGCTTGCTCTGAGTGGTTACTTATGAATAAAGGATGAGGCTTCAAGGCCCACCACAAGCAGAACAAAGACATTTGCAAGCCAGAGAGTCATGGTGCAGCTCGGGGTTGCAGCCCAGAGCTATATGAGTTGGGGCGTGGACACAGGATGACTAAGAGTGATTTATTTATTTTCATGAAGAAGAAGTCAAAAAAAAAAAAAAAAGGAGCCCAGCATGGGTGGGATGGGAGAATATAAAGATTTATGTGAACGCTGGATTTATGAGAGGGAAAARTAGATCAAATTTGGGGCCAGCCAAATGGCCTCTCTCCATCTCTTTAAATCATTCTCTCCCACAGTCTGGATGTCAATGGCAGCCATGGGATATTTCCGTTCTCAGCTCTCCAGCAGTACCAGCCAGTGTCCCCCAGGCTGGCACCACACACCGCAGGGCAGATGAGTTCCTCCTCAGAGAGATGGAGCACAAAGCAACCGCTGTCTCTTTCAGTCTTCCGCGCCCTTTTCTCTGCCTTCACACGGGGTTTTCCAGCTGGGGCTTCAAACCTGAAGTTCTTATGTCAAAGTGTGGACATTTCTTAATGTTATGCCAAATTATCAAAATGTGGGGTGTAGCTACAAGTGGGCCCAACCCCCCAGGGATAAATGCAACTGAGACAGAGAGATGACGGGAGAATAATGAGGGGAAGAACTGGGCCCCTCTCAGGGAGTCCACATCTAACACTAATATTTCTGGGAAATTGCAAAATGGGTCACTGGTCAGTGGCAAGGGAGAGAACTGGTGTTTATCATCGCCACCAACCATTGAAATGCAGTGAGAGAGTCTTGCCAAGAGGATCTCGAAGCCAGGGAGGCTCCAGTGAGGCCCTTTGAGCAATATCCAAAAGCAAAGAGAAGAACTGGAGTTTGCCTTCCTTGTCTCCTTCTTTTTCCTCCAAAGTTTGGGGACATTTCTCTTTCTGCTCTTTCCCTCCATGTGCATCAGATCTCAGGAGCACCTGCTGCCCTGGGGGAGGGTTTCAGCTGGGCTGCTCAGCAGGATGGGAGGCAGCAGGCTAGGGGACCAGAGCCCTGGCTGCTCACTAGCTCCCAGCACCTTCAGAGCCACTTGACATCTTCATCTGGTCCAGCCTAAGGGATCTGCTGCCTTCCATTTTTCTTTTATTTTGTTGGGAGAAGCTATTTGTATGGATACTCGGTTTCAATATTGTTAATGTCCTGAAACCTATTTTATTATACACAGAGGGTTTCGACATATGCACATTCCTCAACATTAAACTCCTCTCTCTCTCTCTCTCTCTCTCTCTCTCTCTCTCTCTCTCTCTCTCAAAACCCCTTTTAACTATGATAATTACTTTTCTTTTAGTTCCTCAAAAGCCATTGTCATGTCCCCTTGGTAAGATTTGCACACTTACCAGGGAGGAGAATTGGTAGGTACCACATAAATAGGCATTCCTCTCTTATCTCTTTCTGGCTTAAAACTGGCCATTGGCTTCCATTGGTTTTAGGATAAAATCCAAACTCCTTAACATAGTCTTGGACTCTAAATGCCTGGTCTCCTCATCTCTATCCACCCCTCATTCATTACACTTCAATATCACTGGCTTTTCTCTATATTTACACTTTATGTTTTAATGTGCCTCAGACCCTTTGCAATTGCTATTTTGTTGGGAAAAATTCACAAGTACGCTATATCTTTATGACTGACCAGATTAGCGAGCACCACCCATAACCTCTGCAGAATATATTGACTGGTGCCCATGAGCCCCTTAATGCTCACTGATAATTGAATACTCAGAAAGGTACTTCTCTGCCAGAGAGGAGTTTACCAAGAGTTGGCTATGATTGCCACAAAATTCATCCATGATAGTTAAACCTGTTGAAATAATCATGTGATACAATGAAGAAACCACTTAAATAGGAGTGCAGAGTGGGAAGTTTTTATGGAAGCTGGGGTGAATGCTTTGGAAAGACCTGATAAAGGTCACTGAGTCAAAGCATTCTTAGGAGGGGAGGGGAAACCTGCTAGATTTTTTAAGAAAATAATACAGATCTGAGATTCTGCCCTCAGCTTGTTTTACAAATATTTTATATGACTGTTTCAATTTAAAGCAACCAACACTAGAAATCCTGAACACCCCAAACAAAAACAAAATAACCCTCTGAACTAAAAGGGACCCAAAAGCTGAAGTTCAGACATATTGAAAGAAACATAATACTAAATCCAAATGACTAAAATTGTCAATAACCAGAACATGAATTTCCTGCAGAGCAGGCTCATAAAGCTTTTTAAACAAGTAAATGCTCCAAGAGAATGAAAAAATAATTATTTTTCAGTAAGAAAGCATGCAGTCAGAACAGGGATATAAAAAGTTAACAAAATATTAAGGGCCAATTAGATGTCTTAGAAATAAACTATGTGGTCATTAAGGTTCAAACAAAACCCTCCACAGACAGGAAAAACTCTAGACCAGAAAAAAACCACAAGAAGTGTTTATGAATCCGAAGAGTACTGAGGTTCACTCAGGACAGGACACAGAATGACGGAGAAAGAAAATAAGAAAAGCAGAAAGACCCCATTCACCATCTGCAAAGGAAGGGGTTTTCCTGGGTTTGAATGCCCTGTAAGAGCTTGTTTGCCAAATGACTATTTAAAAGTGGCATAACCAACTTCAAAACTCTGTGGATCCCATGACACACAGACCCCAACTTAGGATGCTTCAGCTTAAAATGTTTTGACTTCACACTGGTTGAAGGGATATGAATTCAGTAGACACCTTCCTTTGTATTTTGATCATTTCCCTGGCTAGCAAATGGGGTCCAATCTCTCATGGTGCTGGGCAGAAGCAGCAAACCACAGCTCCCAGGCAGCCACAGAATCACAAGGGAAAACAGTACTCTTCAGGGTACTATGTGCCTAAGATTGGAGGTTCGGTGGGTTCAGTGAATTCAATTTGACTTATGACCTTTTCAACCTTACTGATCAGTTTATCGGAGCGCAGCTCCATCATGAGCCAAGAAGCATCTGTATTTTAACATCACACATGCACCACAAGTACAGGCAAATTGTGTCTGTCTTATCCTGCTCTCCATTTCTTTCCCAGGTATTCATCTTGGCTTCCCAGCAGGCTGCAAACACCTTAAAAACATTTGTTTCCATCAGAGCAACTGCTGGAGAAAAAAAAAATCTTGCCCTTTGATTTAAAACCATGATTTTGAACAAACCTAATCTTGGGTTATACTTGCAAGTGTTTTCCAGAAGTGCAAAATTACCCTATATCAAGACGGAAACAAACTCAAGAGGAAGGGGCCTGCAAATAGGAGGAAGATCTAAAAAGAACAGGGAGCAGGCAAGGCCAATTCTCAGGGGCACTCTGGAGGAGATAGGCATGTCCTTCAGGGCTGCTGGCTGGGCGGATCCACTAGGTGGCCAATGGAGTAAAATTCCAGAGTGCTCATGTTCGTGAGGATCCCAGACCCAAGGAGAGAAGGAAACCCCTTTAAAAGGATGGACACAGAGGGGCTGTGGCTGGGGCCCAGTGGCAGAGCGCTTGCCTAGCATGTGTGAGGCACTAGGTTCAATCCTTAGCACCACGTAAAAATAAACAGATAAAATAAAGGCATGCTGTCTATACACAACTACCCCCCTCCATTTTTTTTTAAAGGATGCAGACAGAAACACATTATTTGCATTACCTAGTCTGGGTGCTGCCCCTTGATGCCACACTACTCAGGGGAAACTTTCCCAGGGTTCTGGCCATCATTTTATTACCTGCTCAAAGTGCAAAACTGTTCAGTTCATGTACCAGTCAATCCCCACATGGATGCATGACCACCCAGTGGATTAGTGTCATTCTGCACATTAAAAGTGCAAGGGCAGTGCCAATTCTACATTTAGGGACACAATTAGAAACCTTTCCATATCCCTGTTCCAAGCTGCTGAAAGATACACCAGCTAATCTGACCATCTCATGTCAATGCAGACATACAGAGCAAGTTTATGCATAGGATGTATAGCAATAAGAAGCATCAGCCTTTTATGAGGCAAAACTCTCATTCTTTCTTTCTTCCTTTTTTTCTAGAATACAGAATAGAGGTCAGAAATCTACTTCTGTTTTGTTAAAAAAATTACTGGAAAGCATTTACTCTTCTCGATTAAAGTATTGTTTGTTTATTTATTTGTTTTGGTACTAAGCATTGGTCTAGAGAGAGGCTCCTCCATGGAGTAAGGGTGGAGGAGGGTAGTGGTAGTAGCCAAGCCTCTTCTCCATACCAGGCAGCTCCAACTGCACATCTGCCCAGTGTCTCAGCAGCACAAAGCCCTGTGGTTAATGGACCCAACCAGCAGCTTCCAGGAGCAAGTTACCCACAGTCACCTGCCCCATGGAGTCTAAACATGGACCCTTTGGCAGGAATTTAAGAATTCCTGGGCTGGGGTTATGGCTCAGTGGTAGAGTGCTTGCTAGCATGTGTGAGACACTGGGTTCCATCCCCTGCACCACATAAAAATAAACAACAACAAAAAATAAAGGTATTGTGTCCATATACAACTAAAATATATACAAAGAATTCCTGTATATCTGACTGCCCCACTCCTGATATCTGATACCCTTGAGCAATGGCTCCCCAGGCCTCCTTGAGCAGCCCACCCTTCATCCAGCTTTGCTCTTGAAAAGGTTGAGTGACTTTCCATGTACAGATAATTCATCCTACAGAGCCACTGGGGCGAGAGATCCAGGACCTGCAGAACTAAGTCAGCACCTTTCATCAGCATAACTTGTTCTCCAGGCAAAGCCCCTTTGAATTCCACAGCCTTTGACCTCAGAAGCCAAAGGAAGTTGGTTTATGTCCAATAGAAAAGTCACTGCCCCTGCAACACGTTCCCCTGAATACATCTGAGAATCTAGCACCATCTTCTCTGGTGGAGAATGGGTGAGCCTCTTCCTCTGCCTCCCTGGGCCTCAGCCAGCCCTCTCCCTGGTACCCACATGCTCCAGAATTTACCTTCACTGCCACCAGCATCTTGTCCTTGGTTGGGCTGAGGTTGTAGCACTCAGCCAGGAAGACCTTCCCAAAGGCTCCCTCGCCCAGTTCTCGCTTCAACACTATGTCCCTTCGCTTGATGTGCTGCACATCTGCAGAGGGGAACAGAGAGGAGGCAGAAAAGTCAGTCTTTGGTGCTTGTCCAGACAACAAGGGATATGGGGCGCTTCCAAGTCCACAGTCGGGAAAACCAAACTCTAGCACCCTGATTTAAGCATGGAAACTGGCTTTGCTTTGGGGTTGCAGAGTGTGACTCCAAATGGAATCTCAGCTCTGTCCCTGACTAGCCACTAACTTCTCTAAACACTGCTTTTTCAGTGGAAAACCGCCCACAGTAGTTAGTGCCCAGGAATCTGGTGTTACTTAGCAATAGTTGTTGGAGAGGGGATACAGCCGTCTCTAGTTATCCTGCACGTGGATCCCCCGGGATCTTGTTAAAATGCAGATTCTGATTCAGCAGGTCTAGAAGTCCAACATTCCAGTTGATGACAAAGTACTTTTAGTAGGGTTCAGAATCGCATTTGAATCCTAGTTCCATCCCCTTGCAGGTTTTTCTGAGTTGGGAAAAGTTATTTAATCATAGAGCCTCAATTTCCTCAACTGCAATATGAGATTAACAACAATACCTTCCTCAAAGGATGAGAATCCATATAAAGAGCTTGGCCCAATGCCTGGGACAAACTAAATGTGTATATGTGTGTGCATATACACATGTGTCCGCGTGCACACTCACACACACCCATATGCTGGTTCTTTTTGTAACAATGGCCACAATGACCCCAGCATAACAGCGCCTGGGTCATGATAGAAACTACTCATGGACAGCTAAAACCATTTCAAAAAACCCTCCTGTTGACCCATCCTTCTCCTCGGAGAGAAAGGACACTGAAATCACAAGTGGCCAATTCAGAGACAGCCCCAGAGTGAGGGCCTGTGCAGAGAGAGGGGTTGCCATTCCCTCTGCTAATTTAGCCACCTAATTTTAATTAGGTTCTCCTGTCTGCCAGGAGAAAGCAGAGCTGTGACCTCAGCCCTCCCACCTCTTTGGAAAGAATGCTACCAAGGAACTGTACAAGCAGTGGGCTGGCGCTGAAAGGAGCCAGCTCGAGATTACTCACTGACCTTTACATTAATTGTTCAACAGGCAGAAGCCCATTAAATACCTGTATTAACATTATGAAGAGCATCGCAGAGCCAGGAAAGAGGATTGTCTCCAATGACCTTGTCGAAAATAAAAACTGAAGGAGGAGGACCTTGGCAGACTGTCCTCAGGAGTGAGGAGCCTGTGACAGGGACAGAGGGGCATGGCTGGAAGGCTTTGGTTAGTGTCTTGGTGTGTATGGGGATTTCTTTCAGAATAGACTACCCAAAACATTGTTTTTCCCTATTAAGGCTCTTGATATCCCACAGTATCCTGGAGGGTCTGCCTTGTGAGGATTTGTGGGAGGAAACCATGGCCCTGATTTCTGAAGCGGCTGCCCACCCTGCCAAGCTATGTCTCAGCCTTTACAAGTAGGGGATTAAAAATCGTTTCCCTTCTTCACTTCCTCAGCCTCCGCTTCCCAGTCTCTGAGAAGGGTATTTGGAGGCCTTGAGGGGAAACCTAAAGAGTTCCCCACTGAGAGAAAATTGGAGGTCAGGACCTCTCTTGGGAGGCCATCTGCTCATTGCTGCCTAATGATTCCCAGGTGATTAACAATGACGCACAGGTTCCTGCAAGGGGAATGGAGACGGGGCTGGTAAAGGCAGCTCTTCAGTGCCAAGCCCCAGCCTCTAAGTGCTCAGGAATTGGTAAGGCCTGGGGAGCTAGAGGCACTTGATTTAAGATCTGGAACCTCCAAAGCTAGTTATTTTACAGAACACCTTGGATTTCAGATTTCTCTTCTGTAAAATGGGTTTGGGGGAATAATACAAGTTCTCCCTCGCTATTCCCTACGAAAGTCTGTAAACGTTCAATTCCCCCCAAAATGTAGGTGTTGTAAAACAGTATTTCGATCACCGCTGATATCAATTTCATGGTAAAATGAAGGCCAAGTCTGGTTCTCACCTGGTGGCTGAGGTGGGCTTGGAATCCAGAGCATAATGAGGACATGAGAGAACAGTCATGTTACTTAGGGAAGAACCTCCTCTGGCCCAGAGCCCACTCTCCCTCTGCATCACAATAGAAGAATGCTTCTCAAACTGGAACCTGTACCACTCTCGCCTAGAGAGTTTGTTTAAACAGATTGCTGGGCTTCTCTCCTCCAAGGTCCCAGCTGAGCAGGTCCCAGTCAGGGCCTGAGAATCTGCATTTCTAAGTTGTTGATACCACTGGAACAGAACCGTTGGAACAGAACATTTTTGTAAGGTGAGGGAATTAGCCAGTTGAAAAAAAAGCTGTTCACCTTGACTGCTTGAATTTAACCAGTCCCATGCCTACAAAGACATTAAGCTATGCCCCACCTCCAGAAGACCAGGAAGCCCTCCCAGACCCTGGACTTACCCCCTCTTCTCCTCCCCTCCCTAGCTGTGTGGACTAGGCTGAGCCATCTCCTCCCAGAGCCTGAACTGCCCATCAGTGCAATAGCAATCATGCCTCTCTTGTGTTCTAGAAATGTCTCCAGAAAGGCAAAAGCAACATAATGCATTTTTCTGGGTGCCTAAGTCCAACTCTGAGCTGGATGTCCACACTAGTTTCATCAGGGGTTCTCGTTCTCAGCTATAATGAGTGTAAAATGAGAATAGAGGCGCTTTACCAAGAGCGGGACTCTGGTTTTCATCTGCAGTGCCTGGGTCACGTCAAAGAACCCTGCCTCCTCTCCTCCCTCCCTGCACAGCAAGATTCACAGGCCCTGAAAGATTCAGCCAAGCCAAGTGGGAGCCTCACAGAGGGAGTGATTTCCCAACCCTTCCTCAACATCCAGAGAATTGAGAGCCTGGCAACAGCTGCAAACCCCCTGCTGCTGGAGGCCGAGGCTCAGACAGCTGTGGACCTTGAACGTAGCAGGGGGCAGGTGACCACATTTTGGGAAACTTGTCTGCTCTCTGTAAGCACATGAAAAAGGCTGGGGTGGAAGCCTACCCTGGGCCAAAGTATCTTCCCCCAATATGTAAATGAATCATTCTCAGGGGCTCAGGACAAAATGGTGTTGGTTCATTCCAGTTGTCTTCCAAGTATAGGGACTTTGACTTTGAAATCAATACCTGTGCTTGGCCAGGGGTGGGATGGTGAGAGCTGGGAAAGGGCAGGCAAAGAAAGAGAAAGAAAAACAGATTCCATTCCACCTTAAATCCTCCTCCAGGAGAGAACTTCTTCCAGGTCATGGGGAGAAGAGGCTCCACAAGGTAACCAGGGAGCTTTGGCAAAGAAAAGCTGGACTGGGGCCAAATGCACAGGGCAAATCACTTGCACATGGAAAAGCCCGTGTACCAACGAGCTTCTAGCCTCCAAAACACCAGGGCAGTAACTGCTTTCCTGGAACCCACCAAGGAAGAAGCAGGGCAAAGGGATTGATGGGCACCAAATCGTACAATGTGCTCAAGGCTGGTTCTCATAATGATCTTGAGAGACAGTGTTAGAGGACCCCTTTCACAGAAGAGAAAATGAGGGTAGGATTTAACCTTCCAAATTCACAAAGGTAAAAACTGACCAAGGACTCTCTCTTCTTTCTATGACCAGTTATTTCCTTTACATTAAGCTGCTTCTACTCTGTCCTTCCTGACTTTATAGCCACTCAATTAGACCTATCCACAGATGCCCAAAATTCTACCCTCCACCATCTTCCACTCCTAACCCGCTTTCTCTGACCCGACTCATCTCGGGACTGTATTACAGCATCTTCCCAAGGGAAAGGGCAGCCACTCCCCCCCTGGAGGCCACTCACAGCACACGAGGCTCTGGGGAGAAGGGAATGGATGCTCGGCCAGGCTCCAGGGAACGGCTAGAGTGAACCACTTCGTTTCTGACGTCCACACATCTATTTGGGTCCCTGCCACGCTTATTTTTAGCTCACACGGTGCTTCTCAGAGCTGCCTCTGGTGAAGCCATCTGACCCTCATGCCGAAAAGTGATGGATTTTCCTGGGAGGAGAGGGCATCAATCTYTTTTTACTGCCTGGTTGGCTGGCCCGGCAAGTCTGGGTCACAAGGCTCAGACGTCGGGATGCAGGAAGGGGAGGAGGAGAGAGGGGAGACACAGCCCAGGCCGTGGGAAGACCTCCCAATCTCCACTAAGGAAGGCGCTGTTGGAGAGAATAAGGAGTTGGTGTATAATGGGAAGGGATCTTTAAGAAATGAAAAGGATTCCTGAGACCTTTTGCCCTGGCTCTTCCTGAATTCTTTTTTGCAAGAGAGCCACTAACTGAGTTCCACCAAAGGAAGCCACCTGTAGATCCTCTCCTTCCCACAGGACCATTGGTTCATCGGACACAAATACAGTGTGAGGATTTCTGCATTGTGGTTTCAGCTCCAAGAATTCTTCCTCTGTAGTGGGGACCAAGATAACTATTCCATATGTGTGGGATTCACTTCTGGGAGGTCTTCCAGACCTTGCAGCAAGCTTGACCTAAAGCAAAAGCTCTTATCCTGCAAGTCACTGGGCACCTCGGTACAGAAGACCACAGAACCCTAGGAGGGCAGTGGGCAGACAAGGGTTGTACCTCACCCTGCCTGTGCTCACTGGGGCTGCCAGGAGGCTGCATCCTGGGGTTGGGGGCTGAGGGAGACTTTCCTACAGCATCTGCTAAGACATGCATAGGTACCCTGGATAGTTTGTGTGATACAGCTGGATACAGAGGTGACTACTGTCAATTGCATCTCTGTTCTGGGGGGAAGGGAGGCAGGAAAGATAGTCATAAACTGCTCAGTCTTGCTGACCATGGATGAAAGGGAACAAAACCCCACATAAATATGGAACTGCTGAAAGAGTGAGGATTTGGAGAGTGGGAAGACCAGGTCTTGTCTCTTACTCTTTGTGTTCTACATTCTCCAAGCCTCTAGTTCCTTATCTGTAAAATGGAAACACAGATATTGATTTAGCAGCACTGCACCTTTAAGAGGGCTGATTTAAAGCTTTTAAATAACAAGGATGATCAGAAATATCTGTAATGTAGCT